AACAAACACACAAACATACAGTGAAACAAACACACAAACATACAGTGCAACAAACACACAAACATACAGTGAAACAAACACACAAACATACAGTGCAACAAACACACAAACATACAGTGAAACAAACACACAAACATACAGTGAAACACAGACACACAAACATACAGTGAAACACAGGCACACAAACATACACACATACAGTGAGAGTTAGATAAGACACACAGACACATACAGTGAGAGTTAGATGACACACACAGACACATACAGTGAGAGTTAGATAAGACACACACAGACACATACAGTGAAAGTTAGAAGACACACACAGATACATAGAATAGATGTATCTCAATGACAATCGTGGAAGACAAACACACACACACACACATAGAAATATAGAGTGAGAGTTCGATAAGACAAAACACACACATAGAACAGAGGAGTTTCAATAACAATAACATAAGTCATGCCCACGTCGCTGCAACACAAACACATACACATAGGACAGAGGTACCTCAAAGACAACGGTGGAAGACAAACTCAGAAACATAGAGTCAAGAGTTCTCTCAATAACAATGTCATAGATTTTTAAAATAGTTTTCGTAAGAGTTTTACGGCACTTGTAACACAATACGGTCATAGAAGTGACGAAGATTAGAGGTGTTACAAGAGAGTAACATACACAAAAAAGAAGGAGGAGAGATAAGGACGATAGTTGTTTGATAGTATAGGAAAGAAGGAGCAAACCACACCAGAGCACCCACCAACCACCCACAGTGAGAGTTATCTCACCACCAATAATGGAAGACAGACACAGAAACACAGAGTTAGAGTTATATTGGCTCTGACCGCCAGGTTTGGACGCCAGTCTCCTAAATGATGGAAACTGTCGAGGGGGGTGGAAAAACACCTACATTAAACAAAAAATAGTATTTTTTTTAAAAAGAAAAACTGCAGAGAATCTCACATGAAGGGGAATCCACTGTTGGTGATGAGGAAGAGTTTTTTCCCCTCCCCGGCCAGTTTCTCCAGCAGAAGTTTCACCTCGTGGCACTTGTCTCTGCACAGGTAGCGGTCTGAAACACACACAACACACACATGACATTACACGTTACACAGGTAGCGGTCTGAAACATACACAACACACATGACATTAGGCCTACACGTTACACGTTATGTCTGACGGAAACTGAATTCAGGGGAAAAAATCAGACTGTATGCAAACCCGACCAGGTTCTTCGGCAGGCAAAAACAAATTGCCACCGATTTTATAGGAGTATTTCTCAAGTACAGCCTACAACACCAAGTACTCAAACTATAAAAGAAGAAGAAGGCCACACAAAAGGTGGATCGAGGGAGTCAAGGAAACCCTGAGAAGACATAAATAACATCACAACTGAAAGAGCTGCGGAGCTGGCCTACCATGGAAAACTGCATCTCCCCTCGATGCTTAACGGCAACAGGATGAAAAAGTAAAAGTAAATGTTCTTGCCATATTTGTGAGGTGTGCTAGAGGCTAGAACCAGTGTGAACAAGGACAGTGTATCAAGGAGGATAACTCTTACCCAAACCTCTCACGATGGCCTGGTGTATCAAGGAGGATAACTCTTACCCAAACCTCTCACGATGACCTGGTGTATCAAGGAGGATAACTCTTACCCAAATTTGCACGATGCCCGGGTGTATCAAGGGGAATAACTCTTACCCAAACCTCTTACGATGGCCTGGTGTATCAAGGAGGATAACTCTTACCCAAACCCCTCGCGATGGCCTGGTGTATCAAGGGGGATAACTCTTACCCAAACCTCTCACGATGGCCTGGTGGAGAATGCCCGAGCTGTGAATCGCCTGCACGGCATTCTGGGAACAGAAACGTCAACAAAAAAGGATAAATAATCTGGGCACATCTTCCGATTTTGTGCTTTTTTTACTTTCTTTCTTTTTAAAAATATCTTATAGCATCGGTGAGGTCACATATGTTTATGTCAAGAAGATGAAGAAACAAAATGAGATAATGAAAAGCAACTAAATGAGATAATGAAAAGCAACTAAATGAGATAATGAAAAGCAACTAACTATCTCCTTCCAGCTTTCGTAACAGTGAAACAATTCTCACAAGTATCACAGCTGGTAGTATAATATAACAACATTGTGATGTTCCTCAAAAGATTTTGAGAACAATCCTAAACCAGCTCTTTACGAGTAGAATTTCCTACAATCTCCTTGGAGAAAGAGAACTGTCACTAGACAAAACAGGATTGTACAGTCTACCATCTACAGGCAGAACCAACCTTATCATATCTGAGAACCTTGTGTCGCCTATGGTTTTGTGTGGACTATGGCTAACACACCACGTACAACGTTACACTAATCAGAAGGCATAATTTAGATAGGATTGGGCAAGGGGGGAAACTAAAAAGAACCCCCCCAAAAAAACATGAGCACTCGCAACCAAAAAAACTCACATATGCTGATACCTAAAAACCACTTTGATGGAATAATCATTATTAGAAAAATAAAAAGTAAAAAAATTCATCACTCCCTAAAACTAAAAAAAAAAAAAAATCCTCCAGAATACTCACCCGGATATCATAGAACACGTACTCAGGGTCGTAGGAGATGTTGTTTTTGATGAAGTACTGTATGGGGGGGAGGGGGGGGGGGGG